TCCTCCATTCTCCTCCTCCTCTCCTCCCTCTGCCTGTCCTCCTCCTCTCCCTCCTCCAGCAGTGCTCTGAGCTGCTGCGTCTCCTCCTCTCTCTCTGTAAGGAGGTGTTTGAGTTTGGTTGCCTCTGCTGCTCTGAGCTCTGCCTCCTCCCTGAACTCCTTCAGCTCTTCCTCCAGACAGTGCTGGTGCTCCTCCATCTGTCTGGTTCTCCTTCTGGCTCTGTCACTCTGGGTCCGGGCCTCCTGTAGCTCCTTGTCCTGGGAGGAGATCCTGCTGTCTTTCTGTCCTCCTCGTCTCCTCTCGTCCTCCAGCAGCGCCCTGGTTTGGGTCAGCAGCTCCTCTAGCTGCTCCTCCCTCTGCTTCTTCTGTCTCAGCCTGACCTCCACCTCCCGGTGCTCCCTCTCTCCGTCCTCCTGTTGCTCCTGCAGCAGCTTCAGATGCTCTCTTAGCTGCTGCACCTCCTCCTCCCGCTCCCTGACAGCACTGATCTGTCGCTCCAGGCTGCGCTCCCTCCTCTGCACCTCCTCCTTCACCTCCTCGCACTCCTCGGTGGCCACGTTCAGCCTCACCCTCAGCAGCTCCACCTCCGCCACTCTCTCCTGCAGCCTCTCCGTCAGATTCCTGGCCTCCTCCTCCTTTTTCCTCCTCTCTTGCTCTGTGTCCTCCTGTAATGTGAACGTTTCCTTTCTCAGCCTGATGATGTCCTCCTCCAGCTTCTCCACCTTCGTCCTCCATCTCTGGACCTCCTCCTCTGTTTTACTTCTCAGTCGGTGCACCTCTTTCTCTCCATCCTCCTTCTCTCTTTCTAATCTGTCCATCCGGTCGCAGAGCGCCTCCATCTCTGTGACCCTCTGCATCTCCTCCTCCTTCCACCTGTCCTCTATCTTTACCTCCTCCTCTCTGAACCTGACCTCCATCCTCTTCGCCTCCTCTTCTAGTTTCTCCTTCTCCTCATCTGCTTGATGCATTCTCTCCATTAGGAGGTTGATATGAATCTCCTTCTCCTCCTTCTCCACCATCAGCCTGTCCACCTCCCTCTGTCTCTGCTCCTTCTCCTCCATCAGCCTGTCCACCTCCCTCTGTCTCTCCTCCNAGAGACGACGTATCGATTAGAGCTGACGTATTGATCAGAGCTGACGTATCGATCAGAGGTCACAAATCGATCAGAGCTGACGTATCGATCAGAGGTCACAAATCGATCAGAGACGACGTATCGATCAGAGGTCACAAATCGATCAGAGACGACGTATCGATTAGAGACGACGTATCGATTAGAGACGACGTATTGATCAGAGACGACGTATTGATAATAGATAAAGTACATTACCTGAGCAGCACACAGGACCAAAGATAAAAAAATATTTATGTGGTTTCTGTATCAGCCGTTGAATACATGCAGGTTTCCATAGCAACAGGATGCTGTAAGCGGTTCATTCAGGGTTAATAGAGGTCAGGCTCTAACCTGCTGGGTTAACCCTGTCTTCAAACAACAACAACAACATCAACAACAACAACAACAACAGTACCTGACTCTGCAGGGAGTTCAGCCTCTCCGTCATCACCTCCACACTCTGCTGGACTCCTCTCAGCTCCTGCTGCACCTCCTCCTTCCTCCTCCTCTCCTGCTGCACCTCCTCTCTGAGAGCTGTTACATCTCCTTCTCTCTTCATCAGCTCATCCTTCTTCTCCTTCTCTTCTTTCTGCAGCTCCTCCCTGAGGGTACACACCTCCTTCTCTGCCCTCACAAACTTCTCCTGTATCTCCTTCTTCTCTTTTTGTTGCTTCCTCAGCTCCTCCTGTAAGTCCTCCCTCTCCCTCTGCATCTCCTCTCTGCTCCTCCTCACCTCCTCCTCTGCCCTCAGTAGCTTCTCCTGTTTCTCCTCCTTCTCCTTCTGTTCCTGTTGCAGCTCCTCTGTGATAACTGTCAGTTTGTTATCAGTCCTCCTCAGCTCCTCTTGCACCTCCTCTTTCTGCCATCTCTCCTCCTGGCTCCTCTTTATCTCCTTTAACCTCCACTCCTCCTCCTTCTGCCTTTGCGCCTCCTTCAGAACAGCTATCTCCTCCTGTATCTCGTCTTTCTGCCTTTGCTGCTTTCTCAGCTCCTCTCTGGTCCTCCTCAGCTCCTCCTGTGACTCCTCCCTCTCCCTCTGCACCTCCTCTCTGAGAGCTGTCACCTCCCTCTCCGTCCTCCTCAGTTCCAGCGACAGTCCTATCTTCTCCTCCTCTACCTGTCTCACCCTGGACCTCCCTCTCTCCTCCACCAACAGATGCTGACTCTTCTCAGTCTCCTCTATCCTCCTCTTCTCCTCCTGTTCTCTCCTCAGCTCCTCCCTCAACTCCTCCATGTCTTTGTCCTTCTCTCTGAGCTTGTCTTCGAGTCTCCTCTTCTCCTCCTTCACCCTCCTCAGCACCTCCTGCCTCTCCTTCACTTTGTTCTCCAGGCTTTTCCTCTCCTCCACTGTCTTCCTCAGTTCCTCTCTTTGCTCCTTTACCTCCTTTTCTGTTTTTCCCCATCTGTCCTTCATCCTCCTCCTGTCCTCCTCCACCTCCCTTATTCTCTCCTCCATGCTCCTCCTGTCCTCCTCCACCTCCCTT